GACGCTCTTCCGATCTCCCGCGTCCGCTTGGAGTCAGTTTTCCAGCGAAACTGCGTGGTAGGAAATAGGGAAAACTTACGATGATGGCGGGTTGGATAGGGAAGGGGTCATACAGTTTCAGGGCACGTCGTATGTTGGAGAATGCCTAGGGGTCGTGTTTGGTCCGCGGGGTAGGGGGATGAGGGGATAAGGTGGTATTTAGCCTGAGACTGAGAACGAGAATCTTTTCATGGTTGACGCGTCCTATCAACATCGCCGGGAACTGCTAGGGGCGGGGCCGTATTCGCTCGTCGTTAGGAGAGTGGGGGGCGTACTTTCCGAAACTTCTACCCACCGACAGGAAAAGCCTTGCCTACAACCCAGAAAATAGTGTATCTCTTCGTTTTCAATGGGCAGTCGGCCGCTGTTTTCTGAGCTTCAGTACCAGCGCATAAGGGAGTAGGTGACATAAATAAATACTGCACTAATAATTGTTCAAAACCGAATGGATAAAAACCCCCTCTGATGGCTTCAAATTGCTCGAAAAGAGCCTGTTAATGACTGAACTACCTATCTAATCTACGGACTTCTATAGGAAAAAACGACGGGTTAAATGTATTCATCAGAGGTCGCCTGCTACACCGTTCACAGTTGTCTCGCTTTTTCTTGCTTCCTTGACAATATCGATTTCTGCCCTCTTCCGAATGTCATCGAGCGTCCAATCGATCAGCAGATGACCATTTTCAAACACAGTCAAAAGAAGGTCCTGAAAAGATTCAGTCCTCTGGAAGCAATGTCTTGATAAACATGAGAGCTGAAGAACATATCAAACTTACAGAATTGAAAAAAAAACAAACTCAGAATATAACAAAAGAGGAGTGGCAGATTGAAAGAGTCAGTAGAGTAACAGAAGAACAGTCACCTTATCAGGATTTCCTAATCCCTCTTGAACAGTTTCCAAATTTCCAGAAGAACTCCGTTGCAAAGTCAGGTATCCTTTCTTAGAACGCTTTCCTTCATCAGTTACCGGATTTTTATAGACATCTCTCTGTAAATTAATAAAATGACTTATAGTATTTATGCCGCCAGTTCGGTTTGGTGGGGGGCAAAGAAGGTACTCAACTAGACTTGTGTAGGCCAGTGAAGACCTGTGAATTTCAGCGACCAAAGCGCCTCAATCGAACAATTTCGCAGCTCCAAGGGAATTTACAGGTGTGACCGAAGCGAGACTTGCCAGTCAAAATGAACCAAAAAAAAAGAAATAGCGAAAGTGCAAATTCTTCCTCCAAGCCGAAATCATTTGTGATCATCCTACTACTTCAAATGTGTTTTGTACTTACCAGGAAAGGTCAACAGGTCAGCCTGGCCATTTCCAATGAGCTGCACACCGTTGTACGCGTCTTGGGACAGTGAACTCAAATCTACCTTCAAAATTTGCAGAACGATTCTCTGAACGGAGTTATGGAGGGTTTTATCCCCGCATGGTCGTTTCACATGCTATCGAGGAAACGTGGAAGCGTCTTTACATTTATGTATGGAGTCGTTCTGAAACGTGGCAGCAGAGCGCAACGGGTAGGGAGCGGGTTTCTTAGGCGAGACGTCGTAGGATCGGTTCTGGGGCAGGTCCTTTTTTGCATTTGTCCCAAAAACAATAGCCAAAAAGCTTCTAAAATCTCTGCGCCTCCATATACCATACAGACGCGAGCAGCGATCACTTTTTTTAGCGAAGTGTAAGACCATCTAGCTGGCCTGAAGTAGACTTCTGCTTGTACCTTTCGTAACACATGTCACAAGGGGTTTTTGCAATGAAATACCATCATATTCATGCTGAGCGGGTTAAATTGACCCTGGGGACAAGTTTCTAGCCGAATCTGATTTTTCGACCTCACTTGGAAAATGTGGGCTATTCCATGGGTAATTAGCAGCAGATTGGAGCTCACCTACCATCGATGACTGGTCTCGGAATGGAATTTCCTCCCGATAGTCAAGAAAAAGAATGATTTGGCAAGGACGCGAAATAAGTAACGCTCAGCTCAAGCCAGTACCTACTGTTTGCGAAAAACAGTATGCAAGAGCTTATTTTAGCCTCGAAGACAGTGCGTGCACCATAGCTAGCCGTAGTATCGCTGTATGGGCTTATCAGTCATCCATGACTATCCATACCCCATCTCTGTCGAAGTTAATCAGCAAGCTCAGATATATCTGCTAAAGGTGACGTCCTCCTAGGGTTATTTGACCTTCTGGGACACACAACTATGACAGCTCATTTTGTGCGGAAAAGCGCTGCGAGCTTCGCACTGCAGGTGGCCAACGCTTCGCCGCCAGCGGCCGGTGAGAAGAAAAAACACTAAAGAAAAACCTCCATAACTCCACTCAGAGAATCGTTCTGCAAATTTTGAAGATAGTTCTGAGTTCATCGTGTCAAGGTGAGTACAGTGCATCTCATTGCAAATGGCCAGGCTGACCCGTTGCCTTTCCTGGTTAGCATGAAAGAGGGAGATTGAGGAGAGACAAGAAGAACAAATAAACACCGAACAACAATGAAACAGAGAAAGAGTGAGAGAGGAAGATAAGGAAAACTGGTTGATACCTTTGGTTTACCCAGGAAACGGGAAAGAGGAGAACGAAGGGCGAGGCCAACGTGAGCCCTGTGAGTACGCACCTACCAAAAAACTTACGGCAAGCGAAAAGAAAAGGAACTCAGCGAAAGATTTTACCCAGTAGCCCTGGCCTGAGCCTGTGACAAGAGAATCGTAACATGCCGCGCTAGTGGGAATGGCGAGCGATCGTCGCGCCTTGATGAGTTGCAGGTGAGCTATCCTGGCGTTTGTTCGTTCTGGATTAGGTGTTGAGTGGACGGGAAGCACCCATATTGACATACCACTCGGAGTCTTGTCTCCTTGCTGTAAATTCATATGAGTCCGCTGCTCCGCGTCGAACTGTTCGAACAATAAACATGTGGTGCGTTCAGCCCACGATAGCCTGTCACCCGCCGCGACGCAATGAGTTACGATCGTCTGGTCCGTCTCTCAGAAAATTCTGAAACGGACAGAAACGCACGCGAAAGGTTGGGTCCGGGAGCATGAAAAGGAATATCTATTGAGAGCATTATGAAATAATTCGGAAATGTAAGGAACAAAGCAAGGGAAGGGGGATTCAAGGAGATAGGAAAAAAACAAAAGGAAAAAATATAATAAAAAGATGGGGAAAGTGCCTGCAGTCGCCAACGAGTCCACAAAAGAGCATGAGCAGTCGCGAAGCTCTGGCAAAGGTGGGAGCGACAAAGCAAGAATAGGAGAACCTTAGCGATAAGAAAACGGCTTTGTCAGTTAGCAATATTCAAGGGCCCATCTCACTGTAGATTTCAACCGGCCATGGAAACGGTTATAGCGGTAAACTAAACTGAGCGCGTGCTTACCATTGACGCGAACGGATGGCGTGGCATTTGAAAGCACACTTTTGGGTGTCACGATTTAGTCGTTGGTGAAGTGAACCTCCAGCGCCAAACACCACATTGTCCGCACTCCACCCTCCTTTCTACAACAACACATCTAACTGATGAACAAAAAAGGACATACAATTCAGCTTACTTGATAAAGCTGGCGACTGAAGGATCGCGTCCAATTCGATTCCATAAGTGATGCCCGTACACACTTGTCATGATTTCGCCAAATAGGGCGGTAAAATTTTGTAACCTTTCCCATTTACCGTCACTGGAAACTTTTCCTCGAGTAATCCTAGCACCTAGGGTAAGCTATCATTGCAGAAACAATTTGGTAGCACAATGGCGAATTCTTTATCGAACAAGTATATCGCTTCATCAGACCGTAACTGGATCACCCGGAGTCAGTCTTATTAACGCAGACATCGGACGGTTTGCCACCGTTCAATTACTCATCTTCACCGAAGCCTTGCTCTCTCCCGCATATCGAGACACTGGCGTGGAAAACGTCGTCATGAATCGACACACACAGATTATGGACCCTTAAAGAGGATGCCTCCGATCTGTGAGCCCAAGAAGAATCTTGACTTGCGATGTGATCTGGCTTCCTGGGAGGCATGTCAGCGAGGCGAGATCGGAGCCCTCAGTTTAGCCCGTCACCCACTCATCCACGACTTGTGAAAGCTGGCAAGCGACCACGTATGGTCGACGAGAACTGTTGCGCCGGCTGCGTTGTAATCGCTCCCACGCCCTGGCACCGCAGACGAAAGACCTGCAATATGTACAAGGATGGCGGCTATAACCTTCTTTGGATACTGTCGCAGCATATTCCGGAATGCCGCAACCTCGCCTTCACGAGTCCATGTCGTGATTGTACTGAATACTTCTTTAATAAAATCCCTGCTCTTAAAGGAAAAGAAATTAAAGAAAAACCTGTGTTCAGTGGCAGGTATGCTGAATCCAGCCATTTCGCACGAGTAATATTCCCTGCATAACTGCAAACCTGCTATGGTATCAGTACCCACAAAATTCACTAAATGGGCAGCACCACCAAGTCCTGCACTCTGAAATGAGGTAGCGTTCAGTAGATGGAAATACTATGATGAAGTTGCAAATATTCTCGTACCTCCACAGAAGTTGAGCCTCGATAGCCAAAATCATGTAACTTGAAAGGCAGTCCATCCATTGAGTCACTGGTTTTGTAAAGAAAGCTAGCAATAAGCTGTTTATATGCTCTTGAAGTAGTGCAGACCGTCATTGGATACCAGGTCTGCACCAAGAGAGTCTGAAAATTGTTTTCTCTATTAGAATCAGTCACCTGTGCTGCTGCTAGTGATACAGTTGGCAGACAGTTATGTGCTATTTGGGTCTTAGGACGTAAGAAAGACTGCATTGACCTTTTTAATTCACCTGGCCCGCTGAAGAACTCATGAGACGCACCTGGCCCGCTGAAGAACTCATGAGACAATCTACCCTGCAAGCATACAGGCACTCCTGGCCACTTGATTCACAGATTTTGGGCACGAGTCAAGTCTGTGTCTGTTGCCGAAAAATATCGAAATCGCTTTCGAACGACTAAAACACGCTTTGGGTCGGCATGTAAATAGGGACGAGTGCTGCGAGGAGCACTCAACACCTATGAAGGGAAAAGGAAGCGAAAACCACAGAAAACGCGAACTTAATCGGAAGAGACTAAACGAGGTTGGAGAAGTGAAGGAGTAGTCTGAACTGGGGTAAAAACGAAGATATTCCGGCGCAAGTCGGCTTCGTGGGGGCACTTAGTGGTGCTCAGCTTTAAAGGGGGTACTAAATGGTGCTCAGCTCAGATTTCACAGGATTCTTTATAAGGACCTGCGAAACCTTGTTATCGAAGTGGCTCACTCCTGCCATTTCGTGGCTTCGTTGAAGTTTACAGGTCTCCGCGAGAAGACCTGTTATTCAGCATGAATTCAACATGGCTAAAGAGGAACTAGCGAAAGTGCAAAATGCTCTTTTAGCCGAAGAGCCCTAACACTTTATTGAGCACAGATTAACCCCCATTACATCCCAATTTACACCCCAGTAACTGATGTCCGTTCCACCCATGTTTGAGCGAACTGCGAAGATAAACCCCATTACTGCGGATCGTATATTTGAGCAAGATTTTCAAAAGACCAGAAATCTAGTGACGCTCTTACGCAAATAGAAATAGAATAATAAATAGAATATTTCAATAAAATAGCAATCATAAAGAGAAAAAAGAATGTGAACGAACCTCGAACCAATTCGTGAGCCATGGGACCTCAGGATCAGTATTCTCTATAGTAAATAGTACATTTTTAGTGGGAACCACACTTCCTTCAGGTACAGCTTTGATTCGTAGCGGGAGGCATCCATCATGCTTCTAAAAGATGGTACTATCAATGGGACGACAGGACGGCAAAAATAGTGGGGAAACCTACATCAACAATATGCCTCCAACCTGACTCATTGAAAACGTCCATGTTAAAATGAAGCTAAAACGAGAACTATCGAACTAAGATTTTTAACCACATTTACCAGTCACCCTACCTTGTAAAATGTTTTTGCATCATCTATCATCTTATGAGTCACGACCTTCCCAACAAGCCATCGTTTCAGGATGTACTGAAGGCCGAAGAAGCATACCTAAAAGGACAATAAAGGGACATCCATAGCATACCAGACAAGAAAAATCACTAGTAAAATCATTAACAAAATTTTGTTTTAGTAGCACAAGCAGACACTGAGCACTAATTCCGGCAAACAGAGATCATCAAGAAAGCGAGAACGACAAATAATGAGTGCGTTGTGGAATAGATCCACGGACGAATTAAGATGGAAAAATTCAACAAAATGAAAACACGGTAGAGAAAAATCTCACGGATTAAAGACGAGATCGTAGTTCAAACCCTGCAACCATGGTGAAACGACCGAAATAACATTAAAATGTTGATACTTTCACGAGAAACCACAAGTTCGGCTCACATTCACGTAAATAGAAATGCCTGCCGTTTTCGCAGTCTATGCCGGGTCGTGTCAGGGCAGCTGGGTTTGAGAGACGCCAGCCCGTTCTCCACCACTGCAAAGCTGTGGAAGCCGACAAACGACGACAGTCAGTGGATAGCGAGCTGGAGCTGCGCGAAACCCAGCCCCTGGCTTGCCCCATCATCCGCAGCTAACAAGGCAATCCCTCTAGCGCAATGAGATGACAACCGTTTCACGCTTATATTCTCCCCAACGATCCACATTGGTTAGCTTATACCGAAGGGGTGACTCGATGTGGTGAGCAGCGAGCGGTCAGCATGTGATGTCACGCCATTTGGGTAAATCTCTCCCGCGATAACTGATTCAGGGGTACCCCTTGCGCGACCTGACGTGAAGACCACATTGGAGAAAGTGCATGATTTGGAAAAGGAGTGCCAAGAAAAACGAAAGCGGCGACTGTCAATTGACGCGAGATTCCAGTACCACAGCTCCTCTGCCTTGCTGACATTTTGTCATAGCGACGAAAAGTTACGAGGTGCTGTTCGGTTTAGAACCATTTTGCACATTCTCTGGTTCCTTCTGCTGATTCACCTTAGCCTACAGGTCTCATTCGGTAGTACCTGTGAACTTTTCTGAAGCTGCGAAATGGTACTAGCGAACCGCACTGGTTACAAAAATTCACAGGAGGTAGACCGCATGAATGACCGCCCACCCCCTCCCCCCCTCATCAAGCCAAAATGCGGCACGTATGAAATAGTTCGAACAAAAACTCCAACTTGCAGTGATAACTAACAATACAAAGTACTTCGAAAAGAAATTACCTCTGGGAACTTTCCACCACGACTTTCAAAATACGAGTAGACATGAGTAGTCCCTTCCTGGATACTGATTATGGTGAGTTAGCTAAAATCCATGCTGATTCAAAGCAAGCAGATTAACTAGTTAATGCTAGATGTGTAAACCTTGTACGAGTCAGCTAAGTACAAAACATTTTCGACAATTTTGCTCATAGTGAGCTCAAACTAGCTGATGGTGAGTTCAGTTCGAGCGTATAGAACCGAGTGAGAAGACTTCTAGACTGAAACTACCTGAAACGATTTTTTCGGATACAAAAAATGATACAACAAACTAGTAAACGTGAGCTAACAGGTATCACAGGTATGAGTCTAAACCAAATTTTTGACCAGCTGGCGCTGATAAACTTCTTTAATTTTTAATCACAACACACAGACGAGATAACAAACAGATGAATAAATAATATAACAGTAATCTAACAAACACATATCAAAAACTTTTTTTACAAATCTACACAAAGTTCGTACCAGTTAACTAATTGTTAATGCTTGAACTGACACGCATCTTTCATTGGACATCCGTCAGGATGATATTCTGACATCCAACAAGGAGTAACACCGCTACGAGCAGACGCATTCTTCGACTTTTTGGACTTTCGCGAAGCTTCTTCACGCCAGTCTCGTATCTGGGCCATACCACCAGTGACCTGAACAATGCTGGGCTTATTATAAAAGAATTATTGGCATATCCAACTATTACTACCCCAGTTTTCCGAAAACAGGCCGGATCTTGATCGACTTTTTTCTACGGGGCAGATTTGGCTGAAAGTTGGGTTCCAGGGATAATTCGACCTCCTGAACACGAATTGGCATCCACTAGGCCTGAAACTGCCTGGCGCCAAGGTACCTTAAATCACCAAATCCGCTGAAAACTTGTATCCTAAGGTAGTTTGACCTCCTGAACACGAATATCACATCCGCTTGGCCTGAAACCGCTTGGCGCCCGCGCCACAGGCGCCGGCGCCCTGTCACCAAATCCCTGAAATCTTGTATACGGAGGTTATTTGACATCTTGATTACAAATATCACATTCATTTTTGGCGCTGGCGCTGATGGAAGACACTACGATCATCTGCGCTCTGCTAAGGCTGAGCCTGGCCTGAAGAGAATCACTCCTCCCAGGCTCAGCCTTAGAACAACGTTGAATTGCTTGGTGTCGAAAAAAATGTCATATTCGTGATTAGGGTATCAAACAACTCTATTGCGCGGGTTTCTATAGATTTTGATGACAAAGGTTCTGGCGCCAGATCAGCGCCTAATGGCGTGAGAGCCCAAAACTAACGCGGTATTCGTGATCAGGACATCAAGTAACCCTACCATGCAAATTTACATCGAATTTGGTGAGAAAGGTGGCGGCACCAAACTGGCGCCAATTTGGCGCCAGCGCCGAAACGAGTGCTATATTCGTGATCAGGACACCGAATTACCTCTGTGGGCAAAGTTTCAACAAAAAAATTTTTTTGACTTCTTGTGGTGGTGGTAGTAGTAGTAGTTGAACAGTACCGAATCCTTATATAGTCGTTTTCGCTGCAGACGCTGGGGCCGGGAAGGTTTGACACGGCGCCAGCCATTTAACACCAAGCACCAATCGTTGTCGCTTGCCCGCTTCAACAATTGGTAGAAAGCGGGTGCCAAAACCAGTCTTCCTGTCACCCCCCCCCACGTTCTGCAGCGAAAACCACTGCACCTCTTTCGTAAAAAAACATTAGAAAATGAAGCCACGTTTCTAAGTGAGAATTACAGCAATACATCTCTAGAAAGCGGTTATTGCAAGGCATGTTTATATTTATGTTAATAGACTATAGGAGTGAGCCAAAGTTCAGCAGAGAAAAAAGACCTACCAAATACAAACCGCGGGTATGGTAAATGAAAACTGCACTACAATATCAAAAATTTTCGTGGTGTACGCGAAATGGCAGATAAATTCCATGCAATCCATAAATAGATTCGTGCTTGAAAACCATCTAATCGATTATGATAAATGTCATTGTGCGTTCATTCCATATATATGCATATCTTTACAGCTTAGAACGAAAAACCCACAGAGACCCTCCGCCAATTCATAGGCCTCCTTCCCTGTACAAGTATTCAGGTCCTCATTCTCCAATATTAACCCGTTTCCGCGGCTTCACAGTATGTGACGAGGGCACTGTAGCCCTCATAAGTCACGCTTCTGTCGCCTCCCTAGTTGTTGTCCACAGTAACTCAACGGCTATTTTCTGTCACGAGTTCCCTTTTTACACCCTGTTTTTTGGAGTTTTTTTTCACTGATAGGTGGTATTATCTTTGGACGCGAAGAAACGGTCAGTAAGCCAGGAATGGCAGGATACCTCTCGCTGGCCTATAACGAACAAGTCCGGAGAACTCGCACAGTGAGGTTGCTATGGGTCCTTACTTACGTTGTTTTTTTTTGCCTTTTTCTTCCCTAGAGTCTTTTAGTGATTACATTTAGTGATTAGGCTTGTGATCAAACACCACTATCTACAATATACAAGTTGGGTTTTTTTTGAATGCAGTTTTTTGTAAGCTTTGAAGAAATTCTTCGTTATCATCAGCAAGAAAGCATATCGCAACTCGACGATTAAGACACAAACCTTGAACACTTGATGTTGATTCCTAAGAAAAGTTTGCAGTCCTCCACACTGCTGCTTCATTAACTGTTTTTCTTCTGAAGTCAAGAGCTTGGCTAATTCTCCAAGCTCTATCGCTCCACCTCGTCGCCAGCCGCTGAAATGTCACAATACACTTGCACACAACTTGTAAACCAAAGGTAGGAGTGTCAAACTACTCGTACTTTTGTTCTTCTCCATTCCTTTCGAGAAGCTCAAAGAAGAAACGCTTCGT